CAAATCTCAAATCGCAACGGGTGTCTCCTAAGATTTTTCAGATAAACAAGTCCCCAAATCTCAAATCGCAAGGGGTGTTCCCCTAAGATTCTTTCCAGAGAGTCATCTCCCCAAATCTCAAATCGCAACGGGTGTCTCCTAAGATTTTTCAGGCGATCACCTCCCGAAATCTCAAATCGCAAGGAGTGTTCCCCTAAGATCTTTCCAGAGAATCAAGTCCCAAATCTCAAATCGCAAGGGGTGCCACCCTAAGACTTTTCGGAAAAGCATTTCCCCAGTTATCGTCTCGTCTTCTCGTTGTTCTTTATTTCGGCGGGTGACGGTATCCTAATATTATCTTGCTGAAATTCGGGTTAAACTACACATGTGGGGTTCTCCGGTCCTTTAATTTTCAAGAGGACCTGTACCCTAAGATTCTACAATGACTGGTCAGGGTCGCCGGAGAGGTTGCCGCTGACCAAGTCTTTGGGCAACTTGGATTGTGCGACTGCAGGGATTTTAGCAGCTTTCTGGCGCAAATTCACGACCAGGGTCGTCCTTCAATGAGTCTTCTCCGCATAGTCGTAGAACATTAAGGCCTTCAAGTCACTCATGCTTGGTGGCGACCTCAAGCAAAGGCCGCGTGAGAATCGATTCTTCGAAGATGAATGCCGACTGTCTTTCGATGATTTCAAGGCCGAAATTAGCAGAGTTTGACTGTTGGTGCGAACCTGTGCTATCTTGTAACCTTGCAGGCCATTGCCTTAGAGAATGCTGGCTGCACACAGCTCAGAACATTCTGTGCAACAACCAACCCAGCACGTAGCTTTGCAAGTCTGCGCTGCCGTTGCTTTCAAAGTGATGGCTCAGCCTTCTTTTTGGCTTAGCCAAGGATTGGCAGGAAGCGCGCAGTCACATCGACAAAGAAAGGTTCACAATCCATGGTGCTTGCACCTGTATCCATATCCGAGCCTGTCCGTCAAAGGCGGAGCTCTGTCCGTTGAGAAGGTTAGGCGGCAAAAATTGATAAGAACGACCCACAGATCTTTCCTGTTGTCCTGTTTGTTTCGTTGTTCTGTCGGCTTTCTCCACGAAGCTGGCCTGGCTTGGCTGACCTAGCAGCTCTTAGGTCGGATGCTCCTGGCAGGAGGGCAGCCGTCTAGCCCTGGCAGCTTGACTGCATTATGTGAATCCAAGAGCAGACCGCAGCTAGAATGCATGCTCCGAGACGCGGTGCCTCTAAGGAGACGCAGGGGCAATTCTTCAAACCACCAATGTCTGGACTTGTCTTCTCACTGAAAAGGAGGCTGCTGCTTGGGGGGCCGCAGGGTTTTCCATGGAACGCACATAGTGTGGCAAGGCAGAGGTCGGCTGCAGTTGATTTTTGAAGGACCCTGAGCCGCAGTGCATCACTGCCGGGCATGGGTGGCCGCATGCTTGGAGGGACAGCTTGCCACTAACTCTGCTCAGATTCCTATGCCTTGCAGAAACTTGCCATCGCAAAGTGTTGCTCTTTTCTTCTGACTCTCTCTTATGTCTTCGTCTTCCTCTTCCTCTCTGTCACCTCCTCGCCCTCCTTTGTCTCTCTCAGGTAGCCTCTCTAAGACCAACGCCAGCACCTTGAAGCTGGATGATCGCACTGCGTCGCTGGGCTATGGGTGTTGACCGGCAGATGTGAGCTTTGCTGATGATAAGCGCACTGGATTCACTTGATTCTCCGCAAGGTTTCCTTGAAGCATCATGGCAAACTCGGAAGATTGGAGGCAGGGCATAGGGTTGACATGTTTGGCATGGGCTTTCGATTCCCGATATTCATATGGCCTGCGCAGCGCAGAAGCAGTGTTGGCAGCCCCCAGAAACCCAGGAAACCGCAAGCGGCATGTGATGGGCGGTGGTCACGATGTGCTCTGTTTGAGCTGAGGCATGCAACTTATATCCGCTAATCTTCGGCCAGGTTTGCTGTAAGCGTGTGCCAAAGGCGACATGCTCAATCCAAGCCTTGCCAGATTAGCTTTCTCTGCAAATTTTGGTCAAGCAAGAGCGGATGTTTGGACAAAGAATGACAGACTTGAGTCTATCCTGAGTGGACCAGCAAAAGGTTAGTTTGTTCCCCATTTTGCCGAGAGTCCCGTGATAATCATCAGAGCTCAGAGGCAGCTTCTGTCACTCTACTCAGGCTCCGTGATGATCTTTCATCGACCTTGAAGGCTTTGACCAAGGTATAGCTGGAATGAGTCTCTTAGTCACAAGTGCCCAGGGCTAGTCCGGCTAGTGGTTGGGTCAAAGCCCTCGAGACTTGGCGCTGTCTTTGAGAAAGGTCTGACATGCGTCAGTGCACACAAGGAGCAAGTGCGACCTTCATGAGCGTAAACCTGCCTTGCTCAATACTGCTTCCTTTTGAGGTAAAGTGTTTAGCTCCTTTTGTGCAGAGTGTTTGACTCCAAGCTGTGCCTCCGTTCTCTAGCCCTTGCCAAGTGATGTGCTTAGACGAGGTTCAGATCATTTGCAGGACTCACAAAGTGCCCACCTGCAAAACGTGTAATTTACCAACTGGACGCGAGGACGTGCCGAAGGGAAAAAAGTAGGAACCTCAGACACTACCTGGCAGTGGACAGCAATGCATCTGCACGGCTGCAGTGGGGCACTGCAACATGTTGCCTTTGCTCGGCGCCGAGTCCAATTGGCGCACGAGCAAGTGATGCGATACTTTCGTTGGTCTTTCGCTTGTGCTTGCGAGCAGGAAGTAGATTTTCACAGAGTTGGACAACAGGGACAAGACAGCACAATAGCTACAAGCCTACAATTGCTTTACAGCAAACATGTGAGCAATGCTGAGAAGTCATGGGAGAAGGCTTGCTACGTGCTGAAGTTCAGGCAGGTCAGTGAATGCACCCTCAATACCCGGACTCGGACAGCAGCTGTACTTCACCAGATGGTATTGACCAATGAAGATCCTGTCCTATTGTTGAAGCCGCAGACTTTTTGTCCTGGGTTCACCCAAGAAGGGCGATCTTGGCAGCTTTTTTTTTTGTACAGTTTCCTGTTCTTCGAAGCTCCTCCCTCGGCGTGCGCTAACATGACTTGACGACTCTTCGTTGAATTTGGTTCTGTAACCGACAAGTATCTCACGAGTCTTTCATTGCAAGCACAGGCGCACAAACAGGACCAGATATGACCAGATAAGCACTTTTGAGAATGTGCGTGATCTGTAGTTGTACACGGAGCTTGCGCTGTGTGGTTTTTTCCTCAGTTCAGGCACTCAAGGAGCGGCTCTGCGAGCATAGAGGATGGCTGCAGCGGCTGGACATCGAGGAAAGGCTTTAGTGGCATGCGGCTTGATGCTCCTCGAACGCTCTACTCTACTTAAGACCTATGAGCCTATGAGTGCCTGGCGAAGGACAACATGATTGAGCTCAAGATTGTGATGCAGGGGAGGGTCCGACGTCTTAGCTTCATTCTCTATGAGGACGAGCTGTTCGGAAGCAGAAGTCACGCTACTCAAGAATCATGCGAAGTTGGCTGCCCTGGAGAGGCTGATGCATATCCCAACAGTGGAGGTATGATGATGAGTGAGGACATGGGCTAGCTGTTGTAACTGCCCATGGCTATGGATAGCTTGACAGTTCCAATGTAGATGAAACGTCCAGTTGCACAGCTTGGGAAAGGACGATGCGGATACGAGCCTGGTGGAAGCTGCTCGCCCACAGCAAGTTCATGTCTATGGCGAGTTTGCGCAGACTAGGGGCACTTGAAGATCAAACTCGCAAAGCCCTTGAGATATGATTTGAAGACACTGACAGAGAACTGTCACTGCTTGGTTCAGATTTCCTATGGTTTCCTTGTACTTTCTAGCATGGCTGCTTGAACTTTAAATCTCCTTTCTTCAAAGAAATTTTTCTACTTGTCGGGAACCTGGCTGTAGTCAGGCCATCAATGCTCTTTTGACTGCAGAGTCGCTCACTATCCTTGATGTGCTCCGAGCCACATCGAGGGCATCCAAGGCTTGGTTTTGGTGTGAATGGTCAAATCTGTTCGCCGCATGCTGCTGCAGGTGGCAGATGCTGACCTCCTCGCACTCCTGTCCTGCCTAGATGCAGCGGGCGCGAAGGCACCATGCTGGACGGATACATGGAAAAGTGGTGTAGAGGTTCAATGAATCGTGTGCAAGCATCACAAATTTTATAAGCATCAGAAAGAAACAGTTTAAGCATCAAAAAAGAATGTCGCCTATTTCCTGGGGAGGATGCTGATCCGGAATGTTTTTTTGATGCTTGGGCTTCGGCCCTACACCCTGCTAGGAGGAGAGCAGGAGGAAGGCATGACGGAAGGAAGGAAAGAAGGCATGAAAGGGAGGAAAGAAGCAGGAAACAAGCAAAGAAGGGAGGAACGCAACATGGTCAATGAATATACATATTCCTATCATTCTTACAGCCATTACTCTTCGTACTAGTGGTTGTGTTACTCAAACGATTACTAGTAGTGTTTTATTTGAGCACTACACTACCAATCATATTGCGCAGTACTGTCCTTCTTAGTCCTTGTATCATTCTGAGTGTTCTCGTTTCTGATGCTACTCTTACAACTATTACTATTGTCTATTGTTATTGTCATTATCTTTTATTCATATAGCATTTTTGACTGCCAGGTCAAAAGCATCGGAAGAGAGCATGGGCTTTGATCTTTGTCCAGGTATTGCAAATGGCCCCCGCCCCCTGCCCCCCGGCTGTTTTTTTAAACACAAATGCACGCAAGCATTTGCAGAAAACAACTGGACATGTGAGGTTATCCTTGCTTAGAATGTTTGTAAGCGCAAAATCACTTATTGTGGGTCTCCTCATTCTTCATGATCAGTGTGTATTTCCCGCGCATCGAGTATGGGTCACAGGAAACCAGTATAACTGTTCTAGCGCAGGAACAATCTGCGAAGATAGGTTTTTAAATCACCATGAGCTGGCTGCCTACAAGAGAATCAAGAGAAAACCAACATGAAACTTAGCAGGCCTCAGATTCAACAAACATCAATATGACAAATCAATACAAGCATTCAACAAGACGCCTATTAAACTTCGAATTCATCGGGATATCTCTTGATGTTTCGTCTCTTTTCATTGTTTTATTGTCGCTTCTGTCAGTTGGCCTGAGTTTTCATTGTTTGCCATGATGTTGCCATCGCATTGCAGTATTTTCCATACTTTGTGTCATAGGGTTTCCATCATGTTTCTTTCATCAAGTTTTATCACTTTCGTCATGACTTCATCATGTTTTGTCATGAGGCCATTTTGTAAGGGTTTCAAGTGGTAATATAGTTGAACCTTCTCACGCTGCTGATGAGTGCAGGCAGTGGCCACGTAGCAGCTCGAAATCACGAACTCGGAGCTTTTCACGTTCGCGTTGTTGTCGGTTACCGAAGGCGGTCTGTTTGCAACGGAGCTGTCCCCCCACCGCTCACCTTACACCAACCTGTCGTCCTTATTATAATGTTCAGTAGAGGGGGGCGCCTACTACTACTACTACTGCTACTACTACTACTGCTGCTACTACTACTACTACTACTACTACTAGCCGCCCCCGCCCCCTACCAACTATGTTTGCTAAAATGGCCCATATAAATGTGGGGGAGGCGGCATTAGAAAGCAGTAAGCAACATGACAGCGAAATGCTTTCCACGCAGAGTGCTGCTTAGTTCTCGAAAGCCTGCGTTGTGAGCCTTACCTGGACCATGGCTCCAGGAGATGCCAACGTGAGTGGACACACTGTCTTCAAGGATTTCCGGGGTACAGTCAATAATGCGGGCCAAAATGGTGGTCCTATGGATCGACATGGTCTTGCCTCCCAAAAAAGCTGAGAGAAACTCCATGATCTTGTTTAGTGGGAGCAGTTGAAGGAAGGCATTAAGTTTGGGGGAAGTTGACTGATTGAGGTCCGCTTTCGCTTTCGCCCGTTCGAGTCCAAGTGAAACAGCATCACAAAGACTACGGTCCTATGAGGACATGGGGAGGATGGCAGCAGATGCAACACACAACCCTTGCGCTACAAAGTCAGGAATTCACCGACAAACTCAAGGGCCTTGTGTTTCCAATCTGTACAAGCTGCCACTTGGGTCCAGCAAGGTACGTTGGGAAAATGTCGTTTACAAAATGAGCGGAGTCTATCATCCCATCGCATCAGGGGACGACCAGGACGGCGTGCAGGTTGCACATGGAAATTCTGCTGCCAGTCTGCTTCCGGGTCCCATTCACAAACGCGCATAGCCCAACCGCAAGTTTCAACGACATGGGAGGCAAAGCCATGTTGCCGAAGAGCTACTCGCTTGGTCCGCATTCACCCGCAGCTTCATGCGGTGCATGGTTCGTCTCCCACACGGACCCAACCAACGATTGATTGAGGTCCGTTTAGACGCAATTATCCCCCCTCCCCCCCTCCCCCCCCTCCCCCCCAAAGCTCTGGTAGTGACAATATCAACCAACATAATTGGTGGGGGGGAGACGACGACGACGACGACGACGACTACTACTACTACTGCCACCACTACTACTACTACTACTGCTACTACTACTACTACTACTACTGCCACTACTACTATTACTCCACTACTCCACTACTACTACTACTACTACAACTACTACTACAACAACAACTACAACTACTACTACTACTACTAGTACTGCTACTACTACTACTACTACTACTACACTACGAGTAGGGCGATCACTACATACGTGTTCTTCTTGATCCTGGCCCTTAGTCCTTGTGCAAAGTAAATTTAGTATACAACATTTTTTCATGCTTGAAACTTGTTTTTGGATGAGCTGTGCGTTTGTTTCTTGGGATGCTCAAAACTGTTTTGGATGCCTCACCCTGAAAAAGTGGCCTGCAGCAGATTTGTGAGGACCAGGTCGAGGCAGACAATGTTGACTTCGAGGGCGATGACGAAGGACGTTCTGCCTTGTGGGATTCGGATTAGTCATCGGCAGCCCGGCAGGACTTGATCTTCGAATTGAGGCACCCGAGGAACGCTCAGAGCGACCTGGCTGGAAGCGCATGAAGTGGCAGGCCTTAGCTTCGCAAATCCAAACTGAACACCGTTAAGAAAGATGCTCACAGGAGGTTGAAGACCAGCGTCTTGAAGACCAACGCCTTGCGCAGAGTCAATTACAAAAGCGGCGCAAAGGCGGGCTAAGTGCGCAAACGTCAGCATGTCTTTCTGCAATCGCTTCAGGTGAGTTGAGCAACGAAGAGTTAAGGGCAAAGGGTGAGCAAATCTTCAACTCCAGTGAGGCCTAGCATGCTGCCTGGGTTGGTTGTCCGGCTTTGATGCTTCAATACGCTTGACGAGAGGGCGTCGTGACTCCAGACTTGGTCGGCAGCGCAGGCTTTCAACATTCTGTCTAACGAGCTGTTCAACCTTCAGACTCAAGTGATGCCCAACTGCAGCATGTGCTTTACCTGCAGCAGTGCAACAGCAATGGCAGCATCTGAGGACACCTGGGGTCGAAGCGGATGCTGTGAATTTCAATGTTCACAGCTGGGCACGTTTCTTAGGCCTCAAGCTTTGCGAGCCAAGCCTCGTGAGGGCTGATCTGCCTGTTAAGGTAGTGAAGCTACGCGGGTTCTCCAAAGATATCGCGCTTGACTTGCAGAAGCTAAAAGCTTGTTGCGGCTTTTTGGCCCACATGGCTACGGCTTAATTGGCATCGGAATCGTTCAGGGTTTGTGCTGAGGTTACGACTACGTGGAGCTTCGAGTGAACTTTCGAGAGGACATGCTGCTGCTGCTGCTGCTGCTGCTGCTGGTGGTGGTGGTGGTGGTGGTGGTGGTGGTGGTGGTGGTGGTTGTTGTTTGTTGTTTTATGTTTGTGGTTTGTGGTTTCCGGTTAGTGACCTGTTGTTTGTTGTTTGTTGTGTTTGTTGTGCTGCTGTTGCTGCTGCAGTTGCCGTTGCGGCTGCTGCTGCTGCTGCTGCTGGTGTTGTTGTTGTTGTTGTTGTTGTTGTTGTTGTTGTTGTTGTTGTTGTTGTTGTTGTTGTTGCTGTCGCTGTCGCTGTCGCTGTCGCTGTCGCTGTCGTCGTCGCTGTCGTCGTCGTCGTCGTCGTCGTCGTCGTCGTCGTCGTCGTCGTCGTCGTCGTCGTCGTCGTCGTCGTCGTTGTTGTTGTTGAGGTTGTGGTTGCGGTTGCGGTTGCGGTTGTGGTGCGGTTGTTGTTGTTGTTGTTGTTGTTGTCGTTGTCGTTGTCGTTGTCGTTGTCGTTGTTGGTGGCTGCTGCTGCTGCTGTTGTTGCGGTTGTTGCCGGCCGAATCCAAAGGCATTATTGCCTTGCTCGTCTTCGAGCACGTCTTCGACATACTTGAATCAAGCCTGCAGGATCTTCATCCCTTCTACCCCCCCTCTGTCTCAATTGTCCGTCCTCGGCTCCTGGGAAGATGCTTGGAAAATACGACAGGTTCAGTACTCTGAGCTGTTTACACTCTAGGGCCCTAGGGCCGAATATAGCATTTCAGTTCCCTAGGAAGGACGAAAGGGGAGAGAGCATGAGAGAGCGAGTCACGTATTCAAACAGAGGCGGAAGAGAGGCCTCTTTCAAAAGGGTACTGCCAAGGGCCTTGGAAGGGAAACGGGTAGCGGCTCGGAATTTTTCCAAGAGATTGGTTGTGCATGTGGTGTCCTGCTGAGATCGACATGCTATCACCTACAGTATCCACAAGTTGGGCCTTGTGCAGCCCACGAGTATGAATTCGTAAGGCAGCTCCAGATGTTGTTGGAGTGCAATATCTGCGGCCTGCAGTATTACCTTGGGCCGGCCAAGGACACGATGTGCAGGCCGCGCTAGCCTGCCATCCGCGATTGCAGCTCAAGGGCTGGAGCCCATTCCAGTACCCGGGCAAGTAAAGAGAAACATTGCAGACAGATTGGATTGAACAGCTCTGGTTACAGAAGTGTAGCTTCATGTCTTGAAGTGCGTGCCATACTTCTTAATAATCTAGTCTAGCATGTAAGCAAGCTATCGCATGCAAACCGTTTACGATCTTGGACGTTCTTCCACCAGACCAACACTTTGGCCGGTGCAGGTCATCCAAAGATTTGCTGGTCTCCATCCGAAATTTCTTGGATAGAATTGCTCGCAACTTGTCACTACAAGATGTGGCAGAGAAAGGTAGGACGCACCAAGGCTTTGTCCCAGGGCACATCCTAAGCCGGTGGGCAGACCAGTCCAAGCTTTTCGTGCAATTTCCCAGGGCACAGACCTAGTGCACCGGGATTATGGGCGCTGTGCAGCTCGGACCCGAGGAGTGGACTTGGAGAGCAACCGGAATGCAATTGACACATTCCCGGAGGTACTTCAAGCAGCAAAAGTTTATCTGTGAGCGCATGGCCACAGAACTCCCAATGCTAGCAATGCTAAGGGGGCCTTTTCTGTTGTGGAGCAGCAGCTTGGGCTCCTGCGTGCGGACCTAAATACACAATTCTGGTCCTGTTAAGTTGGTGGAAGCGGCTGCGAATGAGTTCCATCTCAAGAGGTCGCCTTAGGGACATTGTGCCGGTCGACTTGCGGCTTGAGACGCTGGGAAACGCCTACGAGGCTGGTTATCCTGCTCCAATATACCAGATCAAGCGCATGCCATGGGTGCCCTGCGAGGATGACCCTTGGGCGCAGAGCTTCTTCTGAATTTGTTCAGTAGATTGCTGTCATTGCTTTGCTTCTCTGATGTTGTTTTTGGTTTTCTCTAATTCCAAGCAAGCTTAGTCGTTGCTCAGGGTTCTGCAGCAAGTGTGAAAAGAGCTTCCAGCGCTTGAAGGAGCGAAGAGCTGCGGTCAAGCTCCTTCAGTGCCATGTTCTCCAGAGGCCGTGCCGTGGAGCTTCGTGTGCTTTCTAGTCCTTGCAACCCTGCAGGTAGAAAATTGCCTTCAGCTTCAGGCCAGCTTCTTTTTCGCTTCGAGAGTGGTACAGAGATGTACAGAGGATCATGGCTGCAGGTACAGGGACGCAGGATGAGAGGAGCTTTTGGGCCGCTGGAGTAGGCTATGGAAGCGATGCAGGTGCAGACGCAGGCTATTTGGGCTGGCTGAGTGGGCAGCAGAAGCCAACATTTTGATGACAGAACCGATTGCCGATTCGCGATTATCGCAAATTGACCTGCTTTAGGTGGAGACGGGCATGCAGACTTTTTGGGTTGCATTGCCTTGCTTGTTGTCTGCAATTGCAGAAGCGCCCTGCAGGACGTGATGGATGGGATCCAGCAGCATTGCGGGCTGCACAGGAAGCTCAGGAGCCAAGCCGGCTACACTTGGAGCGAGAGCTAAGTGGCGCGTGCTCCAGGATCTGGAGCTGCAGCAGGTGGTCTCGGCAATACGTGCCCTGCTGTTTAGACGAATGTCATAAGCCAAGCATAGGCAAGGGCTGGGCAGCTAAAAGGGTCACCAGTGATAATTAACTGTGTGCATCTCAGGCAGTGGGCTTTGCCGTGACAGTGCAGGCAAGTTTTTTTGTCAAAGTGACGCTTGCCGTGTGCTTTTGGAGCGGGGTAGCAGCAGCAGGTAAATGGTGAAGCCCCTTTGCCTGACTGCCTCTAATGAGGGGCTACCTGCAATGGTGACTGGTGGCCTGTCAGAATTCACGTGGCAGGCAGAGACGACTTGCCTGACTTGCTCTCCAAATCTTGTTTGGTCCCGTTTCTTGAAGGACGCAGTTGGCAAATTGCTGTGAATTTCCATCTTCCTGCAAAGAGCAAGTTCTGGCCTTCTGGGAACAGATGCGCTTGGCGTCGAGGAGAGCTTTCCACGTCCTACACAAGTATGGGCGACAGATGTTCCATCTTCCGGGAAGTGTTGGATTTAGTCAGGCAGTTGCTCTCAAGCTTGCCGCAGCTTGTCTCCATTTGGCATCATGGTGACTTGTTTTTGCCCAGCAAGTTCAGAGCAAAGCACCACGGGTGCTATAGGAATATATAATGTCCACGTCATATTAAGAACGCCCTCGTCCCCCCGCAAGGATGTGGGCCCGAGCCTTCGTAATTGAACATCTCCCAGTCCATCAACTGGAGCTCTGGTAGTGCTAGCCAGTAATAGTACTAGCTAGTCGCAGGCGCTTCCAAACTTTTTTGCGTTAGGGAATTGGATGTTGCAATTACGGGGCGTATGGAATTGCGTTCTGGGATCTCGATTTTGCAACTACGCGAGGGTTTATCAGTATGGCGTCAAGAATAGGAACATGTTGTTGTTGTTGTTGGTGGTGGTGGTGGTGGTGGTGGTGGTGGTTGTCGTCGTCGTCGTCGTCGTCGTTGTCGTTGTCGTTGTCGTCGTCGTCGTCGTCGTCGTCGTCGTCGTCGTCGTCGTTGTTGTTGTTGTGGTTGTTGTTGTTGTTGCTGGTGCTGCTGGTGGTGGTGCTGCTGCTGCTGCTGCTGCTGCTGCAGGCAGCATGCACCTCAACTACTGCAACCCATCCGCGGGCATTTGGCCTCGGCCAAGGCGGACAACTTTCTTCATCTAGACATCACCTGATCATTGTCCCACAAGCAGTTCAAAGCGGGGCCCGGTGCCGAGCATTTTCGAAAATCTCGGTCGCCAATCTTGAGGAACCCTTCACGCAGCCACATCAAAGTGGGTTACGCAGAGCAGCCCGACGCCTAATAATGTAAAATCGAGGGGCCCGTACGTCTTCCTGGCGAATTTAATTTTCTCCCCGGCACATCGAAAAATAGATGTGGGGGCGCCTCCATTTTACATTATTATTCGGGTGTTTTGATAGCTCTGATAAGTCATGGTAGTCCAAAGAATATTCGAACACATCGTGTCATGGGATTAGGGCTTTGGCCACAATTACGCTCAAGGGTCAGGGTTAGGGCCGGCACCGGGGTACCAGAAGGTTACCCCGCAATCCTCAAAGGTCTGGATGTAAGGGATTGGGGCATGAAGACTCGAGACTGAGCCTGAGTTGAGCTTAAGCAGCCCAAGTCAAGCTTTTCCAAGCCCCCTCCATTTTACATTTATGACATGTCACCTGTAGCTTAAGTCAACCCATGTCCATCGGGAAACAGACCCCCTCCATTTTACATTTCCGCAGGCCCCAGAAACGTAAAATTGAGGGGGGGGCCATGCAAAACGAGTTGGGCATCGGGTCGCAGAGCAGACGCTGTGATGATCTGCAGGCCGCGGCGGAGACCTTTCAACGATGCCTCGGCGAAAGTGCATCTCACGAGGATGCCGTGCGAGATGTCGCCTTCGCTGAGCTCGTTGTCGCAACGGCTGATGATCTGGAGAGGTATCGTATAAGAAAATGAGTAAGCAGCATGGAAGGAATAGTTTGTCGCTTGCACTTTGGGCTGATAGATGCACGTCGGTATGAGAAATCAGCAGCTGTGTCCTCACTGTGTTAGGCTTTGCCGGCTTTGTCACGCTCCAAGCGCAACTCCAACAAGAGGCCACAGAGCCTGTACTGAAGCCCGCTGTCTTTTATCAAGTGCTTATTCAGGCTGTATGCGGCTTTGCTCGTCTCTGTTCGTTGCAGTTGACAGGCGCCACTCAAAGCGAGTATTGTCGCAGTCTTGGAGTGCATCAGCTGAACACTAGTAGCATCGAAGGCACGGGAAGAAAACTTGTATCTGCTTCCTGGTGTTGTGAGTCTTTGCTTCTGGAATGCCTGTCGTGGAAGATGGACACGCCTTTGAGCAGACTGCGCGCAGTGAGCATTGTGTGCCGCAGGCCAGGTTGGGCTGTGCCTGAAAGCAGTCTGTTCGCTTTGAAATGTTTGGAGGGCATAGCAGTCTCTTGTGGCCACCCTTCACCTTTCACTTCTAGCAGGGCCACAGTACGGGGCTGCTCGGGGCTCGGGGTCATCATTTACTTTTTGGTCCGGTTGCATCCTACCACCCCTCCTGGCGGGCGTCCATCCCTCACCACCCCTCACCTCATGCCTGCAAGGGGTTGTTACTGTGTTCCTGCATGAACTCTGATTCATTCGACCCGGACATTACAAATCTTGCGCCCAGGGCTTACAAGTCAGTGCGAACTAGCTTGTCACAAATAGCCGAAAACCTGTGGTCACAAGTGGTGCCTGTCTAGAGCTGGGGCCGTTGTGGGTGGAACCATCCCAGAATGAAACACGGCTCAAGTGCGTGTGGCCCTGACCACACCTGGCCTAATCACACAAGTGCGGATGCGATTTGACCGACATCCGGCTAGCCAGATGTCATGTGCTTTCAACCCTTGTCAACCCATCCAGGGATCATGGCGTGTAGATACATCCATTTGATTCTCTATTCCCGTTGGACGATTTGGAGTAGCTACGATGGTCCAGTCAAGCCTCCCCGCGCTAGGGGGCGGATGATGCGGATGGCCCCAGATAATTATGACCCTCGACGCAGTACGTCTCATTCCCTTACTCAGCAAGTCTCCAGTTCTTGTGACCTGGTGTTGGCTTCTTCCGCTGAATGATTCCTCCTTTGATTTCAACTCCTCCTTAACACCTAATGGGTCCAGCCTGGATCCTTGCAGCCTTTTCGGCCACGAGTGCTTTGGGCTAGCAACAAGCACGTAACATTCGCTCCAGGTCAGTTGGGGGAGTTCATGCAATTCTGAAGACAACTTGTTGATCTCGCAACTGCACTGGAAGGCACGCACCGTACGCTTGGCCAAGGACTGATTGGGGAGATGGCAATGGAAGTGTCAAAGTGTCGACTGCTACCATCCTAGGTTTTTAATTCCCAAACGAGCATGTCCGTACCTGCCTAAGTCCTTATCTACACCTCAGGAACTAGCTGGCTTGGCCGGATTGCTGCCGCTTTCCGATTCTTCGTCGGTGCCTCCTCTGGTCTTGGTTCGATTTACCTGACTTTTGTATGGGGCAGGTCATATTTGCATTGTGTGAGTCGCACCCTCCTTCAGTTTTGATGTGGCTTGCAGGTGCTGGTTAGAAGCAGTCAGCCAGACTGGTTTTGAAAGCACGCTCTGAGGGTTGTGCTGCTCCTGACCTTGTTTGAGAATTTGATTTCCGCGGCAGGAAAAGCTGCAGAAATTTGGATCCTTCAGCGACTCATGAGTGATGTGAGTGATGACAGGTGCTCGACAACAGCAGCTTTGGAGGGCCTTGATCACAGGGCCGGAGGACGCGACCTTTTTCAGCTCCAAAGCTGCTGTGAACTTCCTAAGAGGCTACGTTTTTAAAGGCAGCCCTTAGAGACAGGCCTTGGCTAACGTCTGCGATGAACTTCTTGTAGCTGGCCTGGAGGAGACGCCTTATAGCGGTGGCTGCTTCGCCCCTTGCTCAGAGACAGAATGCACTTCCCAGGCAGCTTCCGGCGCTCTTTTGATCCCTTGCATTCACGCCTTCCCTTCGTCCGCCTCTTCCTCCCCTCCTCACCTCCCATCCCGTCCCTTCCTCCATCCCTCCCTCTGCCTCTTGTGCTTACGTAAATTCTGAACGGATTCGCCGAGGTCTTCGACATTTACTTCCCAGTGGGCTATCCCAGTTGCCCACTCGAGGTGAAGCTTTTAACCACAGGCTCGCCGCTCCAAAATCCTGAAGGCATCTTTCATTGAATAATTGTTTATGTCGCCCTCAACCAGAGAGGTGATGCATATGTTTTTTGCCCTCCAGCATCCGGTAGGTGGTGGGACCGTCTGTTTTAACCCCAACCTTTACAGCAACGGCAAGGTTTGCTTGTCCTTGTCGGGAACTCAAGCCATGTCAGACTTCTGCTTGTGCAAGTTCAAGAGCGCTGAGGTTGGGAACCTGGCAAGGTGGGATCATGTCCCATGAGAAACGTGAGCGTTTCTGGCAAAGACGTGGCCCGCCAGGGCAGCGCAGCGAGCGCTGGGACTCGCAAAGTTCTCGCGCAGTCCAGGTGCTGGTCTCCATACAGCCGCAAGAACCCGCAAGATTTTCAGACCTCTTTAGACTAGGAACATGTAGGAACCTAGCATCATCCCATTGTATCTCGTGCGCCAAGGTCCTTGATCCTCGTGCCGCAACCGTATTTCAACGAGCCAGGCTGCATTGCGAAATTCAGCCATTGCATAAAACATTACACAGAGTCTCTTGGAAGTGGAAGTGCTGGAGGCTTCGAAACCCAAATTGGGACGCCTCCTGGAGATAATGCAAGCAAGGCCTACAATGCGGCCGTACGCGAGAACTGTATCAGGCAGGAGCTCCAGACAGTTGGACATGAGATCGATGCTTTGAAGCTTCCGGGCCAAAACTGACATCTGAATTACATGCCCTCCGCCGGAGAAGGAAACATGCAGCCACCCAACGTTTGGGCTCGCGGGCAAGCCAAAACGCACCGAAACGAAACCGCTGAAAATGGCTTGCTGCAGTAATCCGTTCCCCCTAATTTTAAATCCGCCCTAGTCTTAAGTAAGAAATGCACGGGCCTAAATCCTGAAGGGCGCAGAAAGGGGAAGACTTAAAAACGGGCCAACCAAATAATGAATGAGGGGGGTTCTGAGGTGGTTACGGGGGTGTATGATGAGGAATTCAAAGGATTTAGGGATCCCCTTGATTGCCTGGGCTTTATTGTTTATTAGCTTTTGTATAGGAGTTTATTTAGAGATTTAGAGTTAATATGCGGTTTCAATCGATTCTGATTTGATTTTCGTTGTTTTTCAGTCGATTTAAATGGTTTAATTAGACTTCAGATTAGAGGCAGCCCTGTATAATTCTTTTTATAAATAACAACCCCTCATCTTAAATGATTTTTTGGGGCCCGGGGGAAGGGATTCATTAGCAACGGGAGACCACGTGCTCATGTTTGGAGCCAGCTTGCTGCCCGTTCTGGTTTGCCGGCAAGGAAGAGGGCATGCAAATCTTGACGGAATGCAAACTACTTGAACTACTGGGCTCCACAGCGAGCTGAGCATTATTCCGGGATGTGGGTCAAAGTCATCTTTCCAGCGAAGGTGGGCCATGATCGAAGTCCTTCGAAGGCCTAGCCCAGAGTTTGCCGAAGCCATCAAACTGCACTTCAAGTTGCGACGTTCCAATATCCAGGCAAGATGTTTTGATTTTGCTGTGCCATTGAGTGCAAGCATGTCCCCAAAGCGGCTCTGAAGTGTTTGCAGGAGACAGTTGCAGCCAGTACCTCAGACGAAGAGGCTTTGCTGGTCAGCTGTCATGTGTGATTACACAAAATGGCCATCGCAGATGGGCCTGAGGCATGGATTGAGGAGGCAGTACTTCGTCTGGCCAATTATGGGAACCTGCGTGTCAAGCAAGTGGCTTATCAGGTGTCTAGGTAGTACTCAAGATGTGGCGTGTCATGATACGTCTGTGTGTGGCACGTAATGCCTGGAAACGTGTCACATGCAAAGAATGCAAGTGCTCCTATGTGCTCCTCTGCCTCGGCCCGCGTGCTCGAGAAGGGAGAGCTTGAGGAAGCCTTGAGGCGCAGGATGCGTACCAGGCACAGCTTGGGACTGAAATGCTGTAAAGATAGAGCTCTGCATCATGTCACGGGTGACCTGGACGAAGACGTAATTATAATCGCTGCGCGCCATCGGCCTTGCCTGGCTAGCAGTCAGGACACAAGCAATGTCATCGCGGTGGACAGCAGGAGGGTCAGCACCATCGCTCCCGATGTTCGTAGACCGTGTCAAAATCCAAGGAATTAAGCTAATGTGCGCTTGGAGCTCTTGGGTCCAGAAGGGCCGCAGCAGGGCGAAGAGAGCGGAGGGGCGGCGGGGCTGGTGGGGGGGTGGGCGCTTCTGTGTGCCGTGGGCACAAACGCTTGCAGCTTCAGCATATCAGTCCAGGCTGTGTAGCCAAGGACACTGCGTTGCATCGCGCGAAGCTGATTGACCTTTCCCTGCAGTTGAACGGCGAGTTGCAGAGGTTACGGTACACACAGCGATTTCGGTAGGGCATTAGAAGATGCAGCACTGGCAGCAGAGGTTCAAGCGAGTTTCAAGCTTTGAATGGCCTTGAATCATCAGCTTCCAGCAAGACTTGCAGGGAACAAATCCAGGTTGTAGCCGTTTGGTTACTTGTCTCGGTCGACACGGAGATGTTCCATGATGGTGCAGCGTTTTCGAGCTCGGCTTCAAAGTACATTTTGTGTCAATGTTTTGTCCATGCAGCAACTGCGAAGATTAGCAGGCATGTCACAATGACACATCCGGTGGTAAACTTAGTGTGCCGCTATCATCCTGAGGTCGCTTAAGGTGCTTCCGGCTCGTGCTGCGCGTCCTCAGTGCAAGCTTCCGCACTGGAGCAAGACTCGAAGAGAGATGAATCCTGGCGCGCAGCAGCAGAAGGTCGCAAATTTCCAGCTAAAGCTGAACATTTCAAGTGCGTTGATCACGGTTTCTTGGGTACATGCGAGTGGTTCAGCTCTTGTGTCATTTGCATGTTGCATGAACAGGCCCGATGCTTTGGCTCAGTTATAGTAGGGTCTCTCTGTAGCTTTCTTGCTCTCTCTCTCTCTCTCTCTCTCTCGCTCTCTCTCTCTCTCGCTCCCTCTCCCCCTCACTCTCTCTCTCTCTCTCTCTTTTGCCAGGGCAGTGGCAATGCAATTCAATAAACTGTCAATTAAGGACAGCATGTTGACCATGTCCCTTGCCTTAAAGCAATGCTTCGGACAGTTAACATGAGAAAGCGACGAGCATCGGTTGGAGTCTAGAATGCTGATTCACCTTCCGCAGTTTGATGGCGCTGCCGAGTTTCTGCTATGGATACCGCATTTGGCGACTTCTGTGCGCTGGCCCAGCCATATCTTTTTGGTAGGCAAGAGCCTCATGGCAAGCTGGCAAACCTCATCTCTTCCTCAGATGTGCGATGCTAGCACACACTTTGCTGGATGCGGTGTGCATGCTGCAGGAGGCACTTCACCGCGGACGGGTTCGATGTGCATGCAGCAGCCAACAAATCTCCCGACCACATGATCAGGACTGCCCTCTGTGCAAGGTGCCTGCAATTGAATGGCCAAAGCCTGTGCCTAGAGGCTTCGAACATGGGATTGCCTTATGTGTTTGAAGTACCCTTTTAGACTCTCGACTGGTTTGGTAAAAGAGCACTACTACATAAAGCTTGAGGAAAGCTTGTGGCAGGACCTTTCGTCCACACTTGACTGGCCGTGTCTACCTCGTAACAGGCCTAAGATTTGCAAGGCATGCATGTTCTATCAGCATTGTGTTGACAGGCTGTGGGAGCGTTGTGGTGCAAGAAGTTATCAAGTTCTTGCTGGAGTGTGGGGCTATTGTCTACGCTGTGGCTTGGACACTGCCGTTACTCACATCATCTCGCCTCCTCGCTCCAGCATGGCTTTGGACGCAGCCCTAGAATGCGCTATACGGTGGATGTTAGAGCGAGGTCTGCGCGAACCAGGAGATTGCAGACAACTTGACGAACAGCGTTCACCACGTAGACATCAAAACTGAAGAGGCTGTCTGCACCACTGTGACATTCCTTGTTGCAGCCAGAGTCCTGCTCGCAGGGAGAAGCTGCGTTTCATCTTTTGCTTGGCGACGTGGCGACAAGTTCGGCAGTTCGGGAATGCTGGTAACTTGGACGCGGAAAAGTCTTACATTCTTGGAATTTCGTGCCTGACGTGTAGACGCGACACCTTGCTTGAAACTCTGTTGGCTCATCCCAGGAAACAGTTCGAGTCGAGTTTGGGCCAAAAGCGCCCCTGGGCAAGCATTCTAGGCAGTGGGTTGCTTGTTGTGAACGGTGCTAGAACATCAGGTCTGGATTGCCTGCTATGTGGGGAGCAGCGCTTCTGTCGGCGGCGCACGGTCATTGAAGATGTTGAGCAGACCTTCGCAGCAAACCTGTCCCGTGACGGAAGGAATGTAGCCTAGAACAAGTTGGCACACAGACTAACTTGGATCCAGCTCTTCAGCTTCTCACCTTGAAACGCAGAACTGCAAGCAGCAATGCGCAGCTTGCTGTGTTGTCTCTGCTCAGATTGTGGGGCACCTACCTTATGGGTGCCTTGGTAACGCAAGAGTACGTTTCAGGACAACAGATTCATGTGAAGACACTTGAAGTGTTTAGCAGCATGGAGGTCTCGCAAGATGTAGATAGATGCAGATGTTGTTTTCTGCATTTGCTGCGGTTGAGCTGGTTCCTTTCATGGGTGTATGCCGAAATTGATTTACAGCCCGTGTCACAGGAACTTTGGCACTACCGATGCTGCAGTTGAATGGTGGTCGACTCGTCGTGGTGAGCAGCTGGGAGATGTGCTCTGTCTTCATTCCTTCCGTTTACAGGGCACTGTAGGTCACCGATTAGGCAGCATATTTGGCACTGCGGCCCACACGCGCGACATACCCCGCTGCAAGGGGTATGCAAGAGGGACGGCCATTCGGCATCACCCCCTCTCCTACCAACTTCAAAATCAGCAAGGGCCGCGAGCACAAGATCAAAGGAGTAAGAAGTATGTTAGGATAAGTAATACGAGTAGTAGGACTCGATGTGCACTCGCCAGGCATGGAGCTCGATGGTAGCAACATTATGCACGACGCTAAAGGAAGAGAGGCGAAAGGAGCAACCTGAAATCTGACAAAACATTTTGTCCTGTCCTGCCGCGTGCGAAATACTGTACTTTGTTGGTTAGACCGCCTCTCCGTGGCACAAATCGCGATTAAACAGCTCAAACCTGGCGTTCTGAACAAGGTTTTTTCCTGTCGAGGATATTTACATTGCACATCCAATGCTTAAAAAGTGCTCAGAACGATTTTTTTTTGCACGTAGGACCATGAGCATGCGGGACCCGATCAAAATGTTAAAGCTTAGTGGCCGCTGGACATCTTCGCGCAGACTCACAAACGGGGGATAAAGCGGCAGAGAAACTGCGCAAAGCTTTGTCGTTCTTCACCTCAATGTGTGGGGGCTTACACAGGCTGAAGTCATTGCTGTGAGCAGTTGAGACACTAAATCACTACGTTCTCCAGCTCTCTGTAGAGATCCAGCAGTAGGGCTCCAAATAAGGCATGTTAGCAGGATGCGGGTCGCAGTGCTGTCTTGCAGACTTACAAGGTATGGGACCGCACTGCCAGCGCTGGCGCAGCTCACTTCCGATGGCAAGGAGGAACCACCAACGTTCTCCCTGTGTAAGCGCAATGTGTGGGGAAGTTTTCAGCCGTGCATGATGGAAGGCGTGCATTTCCTTCCAAACTCTTGGCTCAAGGGTCGAGAAATTACTGCAGTTGAATCAAGAGATACGGAAAAGTCTATGATGGACATAGGTCCGCTAGCTTAGACTTGCACCATTCTTTCTTTGACGTCCACTGCAGTACCATCATTTCTGAACATGAAGCTTCGCCAATCTCTAGCAATAAAACCTCAGGCCAATTGCTCACAAGTAGCAGATATGATGATATGATGCCTCCCGCTGACTCCGCGCTGGCGTGAGCGGATGGCAGCGAAGACCTTAATGCAATGTGGGAAATCCATAGTTTTTCAAGGCTTGTTGTGGTCAGCTTTCTCTCAGGAGAATGACAGGCGTGCTGCCCATGGAATGCCACCGGAGGCCCACGTTAGCCTTGCAGAAGTTTTCAGAAGGGCACGCCATTGCGCCTGGATTCGTGCTTCACAGGCGTCATGGCGCATGCCGGGATGCGTGCAAACGTGAATTGCAAACGTTCGGTCAGAGCATTCTGTTGCCTGGCATCAGGTCGAGGGGCGGGAGGGTGGCCGGCTGCTTGACATATCAGGAAATAAGAAAAGCATTTGCCAAGCCAAATACAATGTCAGCTTTTGTTTTGTCAGTTACGCTGAATCCAAGGCAGGGTGGCCGTGGGCCAGCGCCTGGTTCTGCTTGGGTTCCATAGCAGCATGGCAGTCATGTCATTGTGTAGCTTCCTTTGTCGGCGTTAAAGTTTTCATCCTTTGCATTACTGATCTGCCGTCCCAGCAGCAGCCTCGAAGACCACTGTTGAGCTTCTGTTTTTTCAGGTGAAGTTCCGAGCAACACAGGCAGGAGCTTGTAACACAGACAAGACACGAATGATTGATCCACTGCTTTCGCATGTTCTGATCACCGTTGTGGAGCAGGTGCTGGGGGGGAGCGCAGCTGGCATTTTCTCTTCAACTCCGCCTGAATTTGCCACTTGGTTTCGCACAGTGCATGCGAACGAAACGTCTCAGCGCGCCGGCAGGTGCACCACGAGCCGGACTATTGAATCTGTCTCACTTGTCAGCCTGTGTGGGCTGAGGTTCACAAGGACAACTCAAATCAAGAACGTGAGGCTGAAGAGGCACAGGCTTTTGCCACATTTTGGCAGATGTCAATGCGCAGGCATCGTTTCAGGTGCAAGATGGCTTTTTAGACCTCGAATTTCGGCAATCATATGGATAAGCTTCTCTGCCTGGGCGAAGTTTATCAATTCTGAATTTCACAAAGAGTTCCGTGAAACAAGACGGTATCCTCGCCAAGTTTTTGGTTCCTACTAAAACATGCTTGTCAACTTCCATCATGAAGCAAATATGCTTCAATTATATTGACTGCCTTAAAGCGAGAAAATAATCAATCACTAGATCAAGAAGTTTGTGCCGAATTTTCATTGGTTATAGCTGTTTGGCGAGCCTGAGGGATCCCTTATGAAATGTGTGGGGGTGCCACCCATTTATAAAAGAAAAAAGGATTCCATACCATGAGTTGACAAAAGGTACCCACTCCCCCCCTCAAGTCTATAGAACAAATAACAAAGAGAACATATTGGGGGTGCCGTCTGTGACACTTAAGGGGTGGGGAGGGGGTTGCACCAATGGAGCGGGGATGTGGTACCCTTTATCCCCATGGGTTGATTGATAGCTATTTGCACGAGGAAGTGCAAAGATACACCAAAGATATGAAGGGCCGAAAGTGACTTCTCCCGGGGGTCGCTTGTGACTTCCAATTATGGGTCGCTTGTCATGTCTTGCATTTTGTGGTCACGAAATGCAGAACTGTCATTCTTTTCTGCCTTCGTGAACTTCTCATTTTGGGTCGCTTGTGACATCTCACAGAGTTTGTGGTCGCGAAATGGAG